TATTACCATCATACTTCTCGAACTACGATGCCCACCACCCTGTAGGGGGGAGCTCGTCGACGATCTCTTGGACGAAGGGCGGCTTCTTGGCAGGTTGACCGCTCGACTGCACAGGCTGGACTGCAAGAGACACCATGCTCCTCTGGACCTAGTTGTGCTCCAACTCGGTCAGGCGTTGTCGGAGCTCCCGGATTTCCACATCTCTGTCGTTTGGATTTGCGGTGTGGACAGATTTTTCCTTCTTGGGCCACATTGGGCGGTCCTTGACAGAACTAGACTCAGCAACAAAGACCACCTGGTGCGGCATCCGTTTGTCGAGCCTTTCCTTGGCTGGAATTCAAGCAATCTAGTGAGTCCTGCTACGGTTGTCAGGTTCACGAGACCGGGAAGATGAAACCAATCTTCTTGCAATGTCTTGCTTTTCTTGGTTAGACAGCGCTCTGTTCTTGTCCGACTGGCACGTTTTGGGGTTCCTAGGGAGGATCGGCCTTCATACGCATCGGAGCAAGAGGGGGACAGTCTAAGTGGACAGTGCCGCGGAATTGGACGGGGTTGACCACGGCTAGCTGAGGTTGCTGGGTTTCCTGGCGTTAAGGGTTGTGACGAGGATGGGATTCCTGAGATGGGAAACGGTCTATTGAGCACTCAAAGTGGTTTCTTGGCATCTTGGTCGATTCTTGATTGCATGGTGAGAGAGATTTAGGGAAAGTTTTTTGTGCGATTCCCACAGACGGAGCCAATCTGATGCTGCTTGATTTTAGGTAGTGCAAGAACCGAGGTCACAATCCGATAGTCCTTGCCAACTAGGCAGAGCCGATGTGTAAGGACGAAGCCGCGCACCAAGATCTGCAAGCAAGAAACAAGTCAGAGGCCCGAGGAGTTTTCTTCGGGTAGGTACTCCGACACTCAAGTTAGTAGAAAGTAGTGGGCGGACGGGCCGAGCAGTTAGAGAACAGTGCTGGCCCGAGTAGAGTAACAGTATGGGAGTCTGAAGTTGGATCCTTTACCTTGAGTGGGATGTACCTTTTTATAGCCGAAGATCCGTGTCCTGATCAGATGAGGCTTTCGGGGTTGTTAGGAAGAGGTTAACCACTGAGGTCTTTGGGATAAGGCCTAATCCCTAGTGGAGTTGTCCCCATCCACTCTCCTGTCTTGGTCATGCTTATCCACATGACATGGAGTCGTCGTGGCTAGAAAGGTAGAGTGGGGCCGTGGATATGATTCGATGCTGACGTGGCTGAGGAGATAAGGTGGACCGCGGATACGGCGTGGTGCTGATGTGGCCGAGTAGATGAAGTAGCCATGTAGGTGCCATGTGGCGTCCGGAGCCAACTCAACCATAACCCGAACATTTTTATTATTTAGCTTTCCTTAACAAATCTCGTGCATTGCATGGGCCCCGCTAATCTATATATACATATATTAAAACAAAGCGGTCAAGAAATTTTCTCCTTTTTTTGAATTTTTTATTTTTATTATTCCATGTCATTTTTAAGACAACCAATGAGATGCACTTTCCCAATAACCTAAATAATCTATTGTCCTAAAATTTCTCCTAAACTACCTCCCCCACTATCCCCCACTTTCTCCAAAATTATCTCTAATTCATATTTATCTTCTAAATTATCTCTAATTCCTATTTATCTCCAAAATTATCTCTAATTTAGTAGGGAGTTTATCTCCTAAATTATCTCTAATTCCTATTTATCCTCTCCCCTACTTTTTATCTATATCTATGTAAAGAAAGTTTGGATTTAAAAATTTAAGAATTATTTAAATTCTAAAAAAATTATATAATAAATTTAAAATATTTATTAAAAACACAAAAAATAATTTTATGTTTTTACAAAATATATCACAAAATTATGTACTAACAATTTAAATTATGTTTTTCCAGATTATCAATTTAAATATTTTTTTTCAAATATTTAATAATATGTAATAGCTTTAAATAAATAAAATTCAAAAAATAAAACAAAAGTTAAATATTTTCTAGATTATTTAAATATTTATCATAACTAGATTTTAAATAGTTAAAATAACAAAATTATGTAATAAATTTAAAAAATTTCTTCCAAGTAAAAAAAATAATTATAACATAATATTGAAATTAATAATAAATTAATATATTACAAAATTAATAATGAAATGATTTAATGATAGTATAAATTATGATTTTATTGATAATTAAATTCAATAAATAATTAATATTTTAAAATTTAAATATTTTACTGATTATTTAAGTATTTAAATAACAAAATATTTAACATAACTAGATTTTAAATAGTTAAAATAAAGAAAATAAGTAATAAATTTAAAAAATATATATAAAAAGTAGAAAAATAATTATAACATAATATTGAAATTAATAATAATTTCATATTTTTACATAATATTGTAAGCAATTAATTTCACTTATATCAAGTAATAATTCGAGAAAATAACTTTCAAAAAATAATGTTTATTAACAATAATTTTGAACTCTTAATCTGTATTTAGTATAGAATTATATATCCTAAAATTAAAATTTATTGTATGTCAGTAATTATTTATTGTTTTTTGTGATAAATGTGTTTTCAATGATTATGTATAAATTTATTTTGTTTTGTTATTTAACAAAAGTTTTTAATAATTATTGGAGATCAAATTACTATTATTGAAAATTTAAATTTAAATTTTTGTATTTTTGTTATAAGTTATTGATTAATATTTATTAGAGATTAAACTATTACTTGAGAATATAATATTTATTGACTAAGTTAATATATTTTTAGTACTTATTGTATTTTTGTAATTTCTATAATTATTGTATTTTTCATTATCAATATATTTTGCAATAATTGTGTATTTTCACTATAAATTTTCAATAATTATTGGAGATTAAACTATTGTTATTTATCAAAGATGAGACTATTAATTTAGCTGAAATTATGAGTGTTCATGAGTTGGTTCAATTCAGTCGTAGGCTATTTGGCCAACCAAATTGACCTAATCAGGTTAGGGAGTTGGTTAGATGAAACCGACTAACCTTTTGTGAAAACCGACCCACTCAAGTTGTATCGGTTTTGGTCAATTTTTTGGTTTGGTCAGTCGGTTCAAAAGATTTAAGCTTAAAAATTGCATTGCAATTATTGAAAAATAAATTTAAAATTTGGATTTATGATATAAAACATTTTAGACTAAGAAATATGAGAAATTTCCAACTTTTCCATATTAAGAAATACATTTAAAATATAAAATATTAATATATATCCATGGTTAGGTCTTTTGATTTTGGTTGGTTTACAAATGGCCGAAGTGAAACTGATCCAACTTGGTCAAACTGAAAAATTTTTGAACCAAAGCCAACTTAAAATACTAGAAAGCCGACCAACTTGGGTCGAGTTAATTGGGTTGATCGGTTTCATCCGTTTCATGAATAAACCTTACTGAAATTAATTATTGTTATTTTTGTATTATAAAAATTTTATTAAAAGTAGTATATAAAATATGAATAATTATTAATTATTTAAAATTTTGAAAAAATAAAACAATTGTATACTCTTATGTGTTTCTATTAGGGTCATTTACTTGAACACACCTTTAGGGATGGCAATTTTCCCAATCCCCGACGAGGACCCAACTTCCTCGACCTAATGGGGTCGGGGATGGGGATTGTTTTGGCGGGGCAAGGGCAAAGGACGGGGATTAATAGGAATCCTCGATCGGGGTCAAGGATGGGGATTGAGGCCCCCACCCCGACCCCGATTATATATATTAAATATCATTTATATTAAATATACTATTATATTATTTATATTATATATATATACATATATCAAAACATATTGAAAACATTATTTATAAATAAACTTACCTTATGGGGAACCCATCCATGTCGAGGATCGGGGATGGGGGTTAATTTTAGAATCGGGGTCAGGGATGGGGAATATGATCCCTGCCCCGACCCTTATTGTTTTATATATTTACATAAACATACCTTATAGTTTTCATTTTACTAAAACATCCCATATATTTTACAACTTATTTACTTAATCAACCTTTCATTAAGGAGTGTTTGTTTTGCCATTAGGCCCATGATTTTTTATTCCAAAATACCCTTAACACTTTTTTTTTACAAAAAAACAAAATTGACCAAATATAACCAATAGAGTGATTGTCCGTGTCTTATTAAGGGCAAAAATGGTATTTTTATTTTTATTTTCTTTTGATTAAATTTATTTAAATGAACATTATGGTCAATACTGTCATTTTCACTATCATGTAATGGAAGATTGATTAAATCCATTGCAAATTATAAGTAGTATTTTAGTAAAATACTAATTATAGGGTAGATTTTAGTAAATCCATGAAACTATAACGGGTATTTTAGTAAATGACAATTTCTATTATTTAGCTTTACTTAATAAATCCCATACATCCACAGGTCCCGCTAATATAAAATAGATAATTTAGCATTATGAATCAGGCGTAAAATAGCTTAAATTAAATTAAAGGGGAATTCATTAGGTAGCTTTCCGAAATCAATACCTATTGAATTCGACTAAAACGTACAATTCTGTGCAAAATTACAAAAAAAAAAAAAAAAGAAAATGTATGAATCTCATTTAGGGGATTATTAAAGAAAGAATTTATCTTCTACAACTTAGTTCAGAGTCCTGAGCCAACCGTTTTGGCCTTTGATAAAAAAAAAAAAAAAAAGAAAAAAATCTAACGGTTCCCAGATTATAAATATATAATTAATACCCTAAGCAAAAATAGGCCCAAAATAAGGGCACACGTGGAAAAGAATTTATTTGTTTTAAAATTTTCTGGAACGCCAAGTCGCCAACCGAAACCCACAGAAATCTTCTTTGTCTGTGTCTATAAGAAAATAGTGGTAGAAGGATAATGTTGTAATACCATATCAAGATCCAGCCACACATGTGACGCCACGTGTCACTCAATACAATCGCTCCTGCTGGTGCTATTATTATCATTCAATCTTTGCGCCTTGGCCAGTGTTGAGAAAGAGAGAATAGAGAGGGAGAGAGCAGTAGCAGCAGCAGCAGCAATGGCAGCCTCTGTTATGTCTTCTTTGAGCTTGAAGCCATCTCCTTTCCTTGAGAAATCAGCTGTTAGAGGCTTGCCTTCTCTTGCAAGGCCTTCTTCTTCCTTCAAAGTTCAGGCCAGCGGTGGCAAGAAGATCAAGACAAACACCCCCTATGGTGAGAGTACTAGAATGGATATTCATACATGTATTTACATCTCTAGTTTTTATTCACATCTAGATGATTTTTGAACAAATGGACTCCATGAGAATATGATGGATGTCCATTATTATCACGAATTTAATATTGATTGATTGATTAATTGATTCAAATTATAATAATTTCATCTTTTTGTTTTTCTGAAATTTGGAGATTGATTAGCTAATCGTGGCACTGATTTTTCTTTTTTTATTTCCAGGACCCGGAGGTGGCATGAACTTGAAGAATGGTCTTGATGCATCAGGAAGGAAGCCCACGGTTAACCACTAAACTCCTCCCCCTTCAAATTCATACATAAATTGCTCTAAATTGCTTTCAATATTTTCTATTAGGCTGTGTTTGGTTTGACAGAAAATAAGAGAAATAGATGTTAAGGGGAATTTCCCAGAATTTGTTAATAACTTCCCCTCAACTTTCTGTTTCTCTCTTGTTTTGTCAGACCAAACATAGCCTAGTGGTGTATTCTATCATCTCAATTTTGACCTTTTGGGGTTTTATATGGATGCAGGGGAAGGGTGTGTATCAATTTGTTGACAAATATGGTGCTAATGTTGATGGATACAGGTAAAGTATGGATACTTATTTATCTGATTTCATAGTTTATTAGATATTTTCTTGTTGCAATCTACCAGTAAAGTGTGGTTATTCTTAACTTTAGCTTTAGAGTACTGATTCTGATTTCTATCTTCTAATGCAACCGAGGTCATTTTTAACTGTCTACAAGGGTGGATCCATCTTTGGTGGTGATTTATTTGGAAAAATTAGTAACCAGCAGTTCATTTCTAATGTAGAATTAGAAAATAAAAATGGATTAGACAATTTTGATTTAATAAATGATGCATCAACTTGATTAGAAATCTATGATTATTAAGTGGGTGAATTTTAAGAGTAAATGATTCAAGCATTTCAATAGTGAAGCAAATTTGCAATTCATGAGCAATTGTTACTGAACTTAATTACACTGCTATACAGTCCGATCTACACACCGGATGAGTGGTCTCCCAGTGGTGATGTCTATGTTGGTGGTAAGAACTGTCAAAAATTTTAGCCATCTTGATTTTATTCATGTAAATCTTGTTTTGATAAATCCTCCTTTCTGTTCATTCTGTTAATGTTTGCTCTGAAAATATGAAAATGTAGGTACTACTGGTTTAGCCATATGGGCTGTTACCCTTGCTGGCCTTCTATTGGGAGGTGCCCTACTTGTTTACAACACAAGTGCCTTGGCACAGTAGAATGTTTGTAATGTATGTCTTAATACTGTCTCTAGGTAGTGTCTCCAATTCCCACTCTCCTTTGTGTTGAAAACTTAAGTATATATTTTGACATGCATATAAATTCATGTATGTAATCTTTTGGACTGAATATCATTTTATTCAAGTTAAGTTAATGAAAATCCTTCTGCTAATGTCTATAAATCATGGATGAGCAAGTCATTTAAGGCATAATTCGAAGAAAAAAACAAAGTCATTTAGGCTGTGTTTGGAAGGAGTACGAATGCAAATATGTAGCGATTTACTAATACCTGATTGTTCGAAATAAGATCATGTTAATGATAAGCAAGTTATTCCCCTTAGGAAGGCATTCCCTGAAGGTAATGCCAAATCAAACACAGCCTTAACGTAATGGATTCCTACTGATAAGCAAGGCATTCCCTTCAGCTCTTTCTTGCAATGTTCAAAGTACCAATATTGCAGAGAAGTATTTGAAAGGAAATTTTAAGATATGTATTAGGGCATGCTTCAAACATGCATTGATACTATAGAATGATTTGGATGCATGTAGACACACTAGTGAATATAGTGTTGGGGCTCACAACAATCACCTACAGGATAAAACTAGAAAGTATTTGAAATTAAATAGTAACAAAAATAACGAAATGCAAGCAAAGATAAATAAAAACAAGCATCACTATGAACACAAAGCATTTATTTGGTTTTGGCCTTATTGCCCATGTCCATATATGGGAGAGACGAAAACCATTCTCACTATGAAAGAAAGTGAGAAGCAATACAAATGTCTTGTGAATTGCAACCCAAACCAACCCTCTTAAAATCCATAGTCGACTGTTTTAGGTTTCCATCAAAGAGAATATAAATTAGGATATTCTCTTTATCTATAAGGTGGTTGATCTTATCATAATGAACATTCACTCAAGTGATAATTCATATTATTCTAACATAGTTGGGTATTTGATCCTTAATGGATCTCACTGGTTGGTACATCAAAAATAGTACAATCCAACACTGTATCATGGGTTAAGTGCAACTTTTCTATTTTTTCCATCTAGCTCCAAGGTTCAAGGCATAATCAGAAATGGTCATTGTTAAGTGTTTCGACATGCATCCACTGATTGTACCCAAGTTTAACCTTAATAGTTGAGACAAACTACTTTACCAATTTAGTAGTACATTAGTGTCAACCATGGCATGATAAGCTTTCCAAATTTATCAATCAACTGAGAACATTTTAAATTAACATAAGTCTCATAAATGTCCAATTTAAGAGATAATAATAGAAACATACAAAACACATATGAAATAATAATGATCTAAATTTATTTACTAACAAATATTAGAGCACAACCCTAAACTTGGCAACTTTCCTCAAAGACTACTAGTGAGTTCCCATCACCCCTCATAGAAGAGGAGGTAAAGCCATAATGACTATACTCCAAATAGCTCCTTGACACATTGTCTGATTATCGATTGTCTACCTATTCTAGCGAAGATGCATAAAGTTGACACTTATTTCTCTTTAGCTTCTTTAATAGTTATCTCCAAGTTGTCATAGCGAGGTTCTATAATATATCCAATGCTTTCAGTAAATTGCTACTATTTTTAGTATTTCAATATCTGATGCTTTAGTATTGAGAGTTGTCCTAGGTCCTTAGAAATTCTCAATTAGTACTTCTATTATGAAAAGAATAATTTTTTCCTTTTTTAGCATGACTCCCGACATTCAATCAGTTTTTTTGTGCTTTATTATTTAATGACCTTAAAAATATGGCACAACCTCATATAATCATAACAAGCTAGATGTAATTAAACACATGCATAGGCATGACACAATCATCATTCTATTACTTAACATCATCTTATAATGCTTTTTAGTTTTGTTATATCATCAATGCGGTCTAGAAAACAGAGGGGATGGAAGATGAACTCAAAGAATAAGCTAAAGAACAAAAGGGCATGCCAAACATCAAATTGAATAATAATAATAATAATAATAATAATAATAAAAATAATAAGGGCATATTTCATAAACTACCCCTACTGTTTAGTTAATTGACAAATTATATTCTTACTGTTTAACTATTGCCTTGCGCTACCCTTACTATTTTTGACAATTGACAAACTCTAACCCTATTGTTAGTGTCCATTAATGTTCCGTCAAAATCTGTATACACGTGACACCACATGACGTATAATTTTTTTTTAAAACCCAACATTACCCTTCGTTTGTCTCCTATAAGCCAGGTAAGAATCACCGCCGATGTTTGTATCATCATCATCATCTTTGTCTTGTATATTCATTGTCATATGATAGCCATTGCTCACATGGCTATCAGATCTGCTCTTTGTTGACAAATCCAGACCTCAATATTACCGTTCATCTTCTTGAACAAATGTTCGGTGATCAGAGCCATCGAGGGAATGATTCTCTATCTAGATTTTGATCTAAGCATGTATTGACTATCAAGAGATTAGTGGTTTTGTCCAAGGCAAGGAGTTAGGCTTCTTTAACAAACATTTGATGATCAGAGCCATCGAGGGAATGATGCTAATGCCACCAATGCTAATGTCACCGGAGAGAAGCTCGTCACTTCTTTCTGGATCTAATTAATCATCGTAGCGGAAATTTTGGATGTTTCCCAGCTAACGTCACTGATGCTAGGGTTTCTCAACGACCTCATCCAGTTAGCCATCTTAGTTGATATATTTGTAGATCGTCAAAGTGGATGGTGTCAAAGTTTGTACTTCTTTATATCTAAATCGACCTCTCTTTTTTTGAGATTGGACGGTTTTCTTGGAGAGTATTGCCCTACATCCATAAAAAATTTCAAACGCACTTCTAAGAGGGTTGGATGCATGCATCTTGGACCATTAAGATGGTCATAGCATCATTCCCTCGATGACTCCGATCACTAGTAGGGATCGTTTCAACTCGATGTGGAAGAGAGAGGGAGAGAGAATGAGGAAAGAAAAAAAGGAGGAAATACTGTGAGGGAGAAGGAGAAAAAGCTCAATGCAATAAAGGAGAAAGAGAATGAGGAAAGAAAAAACTCAGTGCAGTGATTGTCGCACCACCAGTCGGAAGTTGCAGCAACAATCGTTGCAGGCGAGGGTGATGGTGCTCCTTCTATGCTCTAGGCACTCTGTTCATCTAAACCAATTTAAGTTAAGGGCAAAACAGATATTTCATTTCTCCTATTACAATTTAACGACGATGGTAGTTAAACAATAGTTAAACAGTAAGGGTACAGTTTGCCAATTAGCTAAACAGTAGTAGTAGTGGTAGATTTCAAAAGTAATTCTAATAAGCCCAAATACCACAAAAATTCAAGTTGACACTATAGAATATGTAAGTAAGGTCCGCCCAACCCCTAAAAAGCTATAGGAGGAAATAAAGTAGTAGAAGAAAAATTAGAGGAGGTGACATCTCAAACTCAAAGAACCCCAAAGAAAATAGGCCTTTGTTCATATCCATGAACTTAAGAGAAGATGAGTGCACAAAACTACTAGATTTACTCAAAGTGAGGTCCACCAACTACTTGCAATAATTCTCATACGATACCAAGTAATTGAAATAGTGTGGCCTCACTACCTTTAGGTTAAGGAAAGTACCAATAGACTCTAGAATGAAATCAAATGGAAGCTTACTGTTAGGACCAGCATCCATGCACAAAGGAAGATAATGGATAAGAGGGTTCAGAATGTGAGAATTATCACAAGACCCTACATCATCTAAAATTTTTATGATAGCAATAGGATTGAGTGAGGAAATGTTGGACTACAAAGGAAGATAATGGATAAGAGGGTTCAAAATGTGAGAATTATCACAAGACCCTGCCTCATCTAAAATTTTTATAATAGCAATAGGATTGAGTGAGGAAATGTTGGACCCCAAACTTTCAAGGGTAATAGGGAAGCTTGGAGAGTGCATACAAAAGGAAGGAATGCACATATAAACAGATGAACAGAGTGAATGTACAGAGCAAAGTATGCACAATAACATAAAAGCCACAATATACAATTAACACTCAAAGCAATGGTAAAGAAGTTTTCAGAAGTTGTTCCCTTTATATGAGAAATTTCACATTGAAACCATTACATTTCACATCAACCTACATGTGGTAGATATCTTTAACATTTTGGAAATAGAAAAACTTCCTATGCAAGCCTCCAATTATACAACTCCAATAAAAGAGGGAATTTCAAATTTTAACCCCGCTTCCACATACGAAGCATTAGTTCCTAATGATGACTTCCAACCCCACATTCAAAATCTCACAAAAGTCCCTAATCAATCTAGCCTTGTAAAGTAGTCCCCAACTAATTTAGCCTCGCAAAATAATCCCCAACCAAACCAACCTAAGACATGTCAAAACCCAAAGTCCCCATTTGCGTGTAAACTTCAAACAATTGTGTACTAAATTTCATAACCAAACTCCAAAGATCCACCTTCATCATATCAATATCTTCTCCAATGGTCACAATCCAAGTAGTGATAAAACCTTAACTCAAAAAATCAAATCTAACACATTCACTGCCTCAAGGACATAAGTTACAATCAACTTCCAAATCTTACATTTACGATGATGCCACTTCAACGACCTTGGATGAATAAAATGAGACAACCAGGATCAACAAATTCTTTCTCAGATCTGAACCATCCACCTGACTTATCATCTCAATCCTTATCTACATGCCAAATTTCAACTCAAAATTCCCTTGTTAAACCTACAAAGATTTTAATTTTGCACTTATAATTAAGTCACACAAGAAGTCACAACCCAAGTAGCCAAGCACCTCTCATTAAGTCCAAAATCTCAAAGTAACATATCTTAAATTTTTCCAATTCCCTCCAAAATAAATAAGATTCCATTGTGATCTTTCTCATTAGTTGACAAACCATAAGCCAAAACCTTGATCTAAATCAAATCTTTTAATTCTTACCATTGATCAAAGATCCAACCTTCCCATTAGATTCAAGACGTCTAAAAATGCCTATCCACCAAATTTCATCTAAACATCCCCTCATTTGACCTACCATCAACCTAAGATTTTATTTCAACAAATCTCACTGATTAGAGCTTATCAGCCATTGATCTCTATTATTCCAGTCTTATTTAACTGATCAGACCTCACCACCATGATCAAAGACCCCAAAAAATCCCAATACATCAATTTTC